GGTGGTTGGCTGGATGCGGCACGAGCTGAAACGGAACCAGACGGAAGAGCGTATTCTCAACTACGCAGATCGGGTACCCGAGTTTTTTGTTATCCGGCCTTGTCAAACCCATGCTCAGCTTCGTTTACTTTCGAGCACTTACATTCTGGATACCCGTGAGACGGGTACCCATGAATCCGCAGATATTGGGTCATATCCTAGACTTCAAAGAACTCTTCATAATTTTCAATTTCGATATGTTTGGTATATAGCTTTGCAGCCAGATTCCAGCTGCAGGTTTACCATCAACAGTGGACTGCAATAACATTCCGACTATGCCAACCGTCTCGTTCACGATCGGCGGAAAAGCTTTCGACCTCTCCCCTCAAGATGTAAGCCCTCTTATCGATCTTTTCTCGAGCCGATCCCCTTTTCACCTACCGAGGACTCAAAACTTCCGTTCGGGCTTTTTTTCCTTTTTCCCGTCGGATCAGTACATATTCAAGGTAGGGGAAGGAATTGAAGCTCAGTGCACCAGTGGTTTCACCGCCATGGATGTCCCTCCACCTCGTGGACCTCTCTGGTAGAAAAAACCGATGTTCAGTCCCTCAACCTATACAGTGACCATTACCAGAGATTTAGTTCTATCTGACATATTCCATTGCAGGATCTTGGGAGATATCTTCATGGGATCTTATCATACTGTGTTCGATTACGGGAAAGTCCGAGTCGGGTTTGCCAAAGCGGCTTAAGAACCTGGAAACCCGACATCTACCAACACCAACACAATCTGTCTTCTCTATATCTGTCTTTGTTTCATCATCTGTGGATACTATGTGGTAATCGCTGTAATAATAATTTGAAAGAAATGAAATGCTCTCTCCTTCAAATTTCTTTACACAGATTCAATACGGAACATGTTTCTCCAATCTTGAATAAAGGTGGATATCAAGAAGCCATTATTCTGAATACCAAGTTTTTCGTGAACGATTTCGCTGTTTCATTTTGCCTTTGCAGCCAATGCCAGTGTCATTGATCTTGCCCGGAGGTTCAGGAAAATTCCCCTGAAACATAGAAAGCGACTAGTTTCAGCTTTTCGATTTTTGGGCGCTGTGAATAAACTGTGAAAGGGAAGTAAAAATGTCGTACCAAAAGAAGGCAACGAGGCTGTGGAAGATGACGCGGAAATGCAGCGGCACGTACTGGTGGTTTATCCATCCCACGACTGGGAAGAACTGCGATTTTCGTTCATTAACAGTCCAAAGTTTGGGGATTTCAGTAAACCAGAAAAGCGATACACCGATCAAATTTTAAGCTTTTGAATCATGGAACCAAACCTTTATCATAGAAAGAGTGTAAAAAGTAACAAATTTGCATAATTTGTAGCCGGAAAAAAACAAAGTATTTCCCGTCCAAGCCGTGAGCTGGACCGAAGGGTAGTTCTTCTTGATATTGTCTCTTACATGAACCCAAGGCCTTCCTGTTTTCACTCGCACCGCACAACTAATCAGCACTTCAAGCTTAAACATCGAAATATTATACAGAGTAAAACATCATAAATCGGTCCTATATGTATCATCAATGAATTCATAGGGTGGTTGATAGAACATTTCTCAGCAATATTGGATAATGTTTTTGCTGAAAAGACAATGAAAGGAAAGGAACTCACCTTCAATGACGACTCCGTAATATATCATAAAAAGCAAGTGGTTCAACGGGGACGATGTCAGTTGTTCAACGACCACCTGCATAATATTACCACCGAACTCAAAATCTATATTTAGTTTTTCCCGAGAAGAAACTGTAACTGTAAGGCATCACCTCTCTCATGGATAATAGTACCTTCTTTGCAATGGTCTTGGTGTCTTTCTTCCCTTTAAATATCTTGTCTAGAAGTATATGATAGAAATGCCCAAACGGTCCGAGAAAGCCAGTGCCAAACAGCTGTAATAGAGAGCGTTAGGATAAATGGGACAATGACCGAGAACCTAAAATTATAGAAACTCATTGAAACGAGGGGGATCTGATGAAGCAGAGTTCAAATATTATCACTTCATTAAAAACATTCCATGGACAGGAACACAATAAGTTCCCGAGTTTTGTAGACCTTACAAACGATCCACACTCCATCGAGATCGAGGGGTTTCCGAAAGACAAAGGCTTTGACAAGCATATATGAGACAGTAACAAGTTTGGTCAGAATCTTGTACGCAAGCTCTGGCCCGGGTCAAGCTCAGGCATTTCAACTGGGAATAAGAAGCTTTTCTCAAGCACAAAGCTTTATCCGAACCAGCAACTAAACGAGTGAAAAAACACAGGAGACATGTTTGGTTCTGTAACGAGTTTGGCCAAGAACTGTCCTGGACTCTGGTCGGATCAAAATCCAAACTCACCACTTTGAGAAGAAGCCTTCTCAGCTGAATCTTTTGTATGCCTGAGAGTTTCTGCGAAACCACATCACTAACACCTGACAAAACTCCCGCAGTAATTGCCTGTAAATACAGAAAACAATACAGACGCAAGATTCATCAGGCACATCGATCCATCACCAAAGAGGGAAATTTGTCTTCAAATATCGGAGATAAACCACAATAGGGGTGGGGTTCCCTTTACGAAAGAGGGAAATTTATCCTCGTATGAAATTCAAGCTCTTCTCTTTCCAATCTTCCAGAAAAATACTGGACCTTTCTCATCGATTCATGATGGGTCGGAGAAAATCAAGCTGGGTTCTATCGATTCATGATGGATTCTGAGATGATTCAAATTATCAAACTGGGTTCGGTTCAAATACATCATTCTATCGAAAATCAACATTCTCGTGGGCAAATCTCTCTCAACCTATGAAAAGAAGCCTAATTTCGAGGGGGGAACCTTTGTCCTTAGGGGGTATCGCTGAAGCTGCGACAGGTATTGCTGCAGAGTCTTCTTCGGTAATGATCCCATTTCACAGGTTCTCTTGATCTCTGAAACAGGGGCTCCGTTTTTTTTTTTAATATTGATGAAATGTGTAAACAGACTCTGGTTTTTGTTCTCTGAAGCCAAAAAAAAAAAAAACGACAGATCTTTCTGTCTTCTGATCGATTTCGTGCCACATTTCTCGGACAAAAACCAAACCGAGTCGGGGAAAACCCTCACTAAACCGGCTTGGTTAAGGAAAATTGATATTGCCTATTGAAGAAGAGATGTCTATTTTTTTTAATAATTTAAAACGGTTTACATTCAATCACAATGATCATTTATGTTCAAAATACATCAGCATAGTTTAATTAAGTAAATTTGTTGAAATTCTTAATAAAATAGAAAAAATTATAGAAAAATACAACAATGTCTAAATATACGGCATAGATATTTCAATTTCCAAAATTGGTAAATAAATACAACAATCTGATCAACTGGCATCAAATATAACAGATATCTTTTTGGTAAAAATTGACTAAATTAAGATATTTATTTCACGTATAGAAATCTGAGTATCTATGTAGAGTACATTTTGACAAAATGTGGTATTTTTATATAATAATTTTTCAAAAAAAATATTTGGAGTGTATTTTTTTTACTCGGTAACGATCAATATTTTTAGAATCCGAAGACTGTTGAAGACATGAACAACAAAGACTTGGACTCAAAAGGAGGCTTTGGAGAAGACATGCGTTGGAATGAATATGGAAACAAATGTCATAAATCTGCCAAGTAATGAGCCAACAAGATTACTTGCCTTAAACAGCATTTAATGGACAATCTACAACCCTAATTTCGTGTGATCCAAGCTGCCAAGACAAGAAGATATTCCAGAATACTTGGGAAAGGAGAATAAGGCAATATCGAGCACCTTTCCTTTTATGTTTTATTCAGTATTTTTAACTTCCATGATGTCGTTAGTCTTCTTCCTCAGTTTGTGTATATGTTCTTGCTTTTATACAGAATTGATCAAGTGGAATACAAGAGCCATTGTGCCCTTTCACCATCTCTTTCTCGTCTCTTTAACTTAAGTATTTCCGGTCCTACTATGTTCTTGTTGTCAAAGTTCTACTTTATCTCTCACATTCAAAACATCCCAAATACCAAAGAAATCTTCAAAGACAACATCGGACACCGTGACAGAGGTCGTGCTTGCAATTAACAAATAAGAAAAAAAAAATTTAATGATGAGAAAAAACAAAAGAAGAAAGAAAAGAGTTTAGTGTCGTTTTTGAAAGGCGCGTCTATTAAATTATCAGAAAGTCCAACTGTCTTTCAGGTGGCTTCGTCTATGGCCAAGACATAAAAATTGCCCGAGATGTAGAAGGTTACTGCCATTTGTGCATTCCTGAAACATTAACATTAACAATCCGGAAAAGTGTTTCAAAGTACTTGTCCATTTGCGCGAGCAATAAAGCTCCGACCTAGCCCGGAGAGTACTTTTGACCGTTTGCTTCGACCCAAGCGTTGCGAGTTGGAGCTTTAACAATCGTACACGGATGCTATTTCCATCTCCGTTTTTGTATCTGAAAGCCTCGCTAAGATAACCAAAGTCTGCCTTCCCATTTGCAAGGTTTGTAACAAATAAATCTTTGATTGTTATTTTACGGTTTTGGATATTCTTTTATATATAAAGAAAACCACTGAAATATGAAAACATATCACGTAATTATCATAAAAACAAGAAAAAAATAGAGTAAATGCAAAACATTATTCTCTGTACCTTTCCAAATTGATACGACTTTCAATATCTTTTCAAATGTATTCATCTTATTGTCGTAAATTTCGTAATAATATATGAATCCTTCATTAATCATTATTTGCTATATATTATTAAACAATCAAATTTATTATTAGAGAAAATAATTATAATTAATGTATAGTAATTGTAGATACATGCACAAAATTTCCATCGGTATACACACCTGCTAAGAGTTTTTTAAACCAATCTAATCCATTGACTAAAACCCTTAATTTTTTTCCATCACCGATTCGAATCCTTTATCGAATGACATCGTGCTCTGAAACATCTACTTCTTTCTCCATATGCATATTAAATTTGTATTTTGGGACAAACAATTGGTTTCATAAATAAAACGAGACAAAAACACTTATTGTAATATAACTTTGTATCTCCGGATATGGATATAACCGCCATTATTAGACACATCCTGAAAGAATCAAAACCCGTTAAATGTTAAATAAGGTACTTAGATTAATTTAAATAAATATTCAATTCACCTAGACCTTTTTTTTTAAGAAATTATTTTTTCTCATTTTTTTCGGTTAAAATCCTTAGATGTCATACACGGGAGAAATTTGAGTGTGCTTGTTACCACCTATTGCAAAACCCTCCTCCTTTATCCGGGCTTGGGACCGGCAAGACACGGGAGAACTTATGTCCAGGCGGAGTTAACATAACTAAATTGTACCTGCACACAGACACAAAAGATTAAACATAGAAATTAACTATCTTTTCCCCATCTTCCTGTCTATACCTCATTTTTACTCTATCCCTCCTCCATGACATATGTTTTCATCTTCAACCGAATGGTTTTCTCTTCTTCTTCGCTCCCTCCTTACGTATCACCAAAACAACCCGTAAACCGTGAATCTAAATAAGTATAACAACGATATTTACATGATTTCAATCTGTTACTAACTTCATTTCGTCATATGCATCATATCTTGCGCGATTTCCAATGTCACGGCTTCTCGGATTCTTTTTTAGAATCCCACAATCCGATCTTTTTTCTCGCTTCCATTTTTCCACTGTTTTTTACATTAAAAACATGTTCTAATGTTATAAATCTCAATGGTCACACAAATTGACACGATAATCTGTAACTTTCTCTACGTGTGTTTTCTCTTGTCGTAATAATCATAAGACCATGCATATCTGTTTTCCAACATGATTTCCAGCATTATTTTCTACATCATCAAACAATCAAAATTAAGACAGAAATAATTATAGTTAGTATGTAATAATAATACATACCTATCCAAAATTCCTATCGACATATACATCAGTTAGACCTCATGTCGATAGGAATTTTGAACATATATGTACTATTATTACATACTAACTATAATTATTTCTATCTTATAATAAATTTTAATTGTTTGATAATGTAGAAAATCATGCTGGAAAACGGATATGCATGGTATTATGACTATTACGACAAGAGAAAAGACACGTTGGAAAAGTTACAGATTATCGTGTCAATTTGTTTGACCATTGAGATTTATAACATTAGAACGTGTTTTTAATGTAAAAAACAGTGGGAAAATGAAACGCGAAAAAAAAAATCGGATTGTGGGATTCTAAAAAAGAAACCGAGAAACCGTGGCATTGGAAATGGCGGAAGATACGATACATGAGGCGAAATAAGGTTAGTAACAGATTAAAATCATGTAAATATCGTTGATACTTCTTTAGATTCGCGATTTACGGTTGTTTTGGTGATACACACAGAAAGAATGGATGAAGAAGAGGAGAAAACCATTCAGTAGAAGATGAGAGCATATGTCATGGAAGAGGGATAGAGCAAAAATGAGGTACAGACAGGAAGTTGGGGAAAAGATAATTAATTTCTATATTTAATCTTTTGTTTGTGTATGTGTACAGGTACAGTTTAGTTATGTTTATCATAGGTTTGTTATTAAGTAGTATATATGCATGCGTGTTTACTTGTTTTTGGATTGGTATTTGGTAGCCAGTTGACGATAGATAGGTAGGGTATGTTCAAATCAAAGGGTATTTTTGGAATTTAAGTTTCACTTCCTCGGTTCAATGGTTCAATGCTCATCTAACATGTATCCCCACATTCATTCATTAGCCATGTAAAAATATTAAAAAAAATTACAGATAAATCCATTGTCGGTTAATTAATGCATGCGCGTCTTATGGACGCTCTGTTGTCATCCATCTCGAGGGGACCCCAGCAGATTGATTTATAATGTGGCCTACTCCGTCGTTAAATGTAATCAATAAATAATAAAATAATAAAAAATGGTTTTATGACTATAACGACCATAGGAAGACAATATTGTTAAAGGGTATAGATTGACGAGTCAATTTGTTTGACTATTGAAATTTATAAAATTAAACCGTGTTTTTAATTTAAAACAACGACAAGAGGAAGCGAGTAAAAAAGGTGTCGATATGTTGGCTTCTCCATATCCCGTCCATATCCCGAGGCATAGTGGCTTTGGAAATGGAGCATGCAGCAAAGTAAGATTGATAACAAATAGGAATCATATAAATATCGTTGATGTATTTCTTTAGATTCTCAGTTTACATACACCATTTTGGATTTGGGTTTCTATGAAATGTTCGAAAGAGAAGAGGAGAAAACCACAGAAGAAGAGAAACCCACTGGCTAGAGATGAGAGATGTTATGAAGTGAAAACCACTCGCTAGAGATGAAAGATGTTATGAAGTGTAGAGCAAAAATGAGGCATAGAAAAGAAGTTAGGAAAAAGGTATAACAATTATTTTCTATGTTATTATGTTCAATGTTGTGTTTGTGTAGATACAAGTAGGTTATATTATAACCTATTAATAATAGGTTTGTTATTAAGTAGTATATATGCGTGTTTATTTTTGGGTGGGGAATCCGGAAAATTATCTAAAAATTATGGGAAAGTCAGAGGAGCCTCTCTAATCTCTATAATCAATTTTATCAAACTTGTATTTCTTTTTTCATAATGAAATACAATAGGATTTGCTATTTTGCAACTAGAGATAACGTGACGCCCAGCGACATCGACATCGGGTAGAGATAATCATTCCGGTCTAGCGAGACTTATTCTCAAAAAACAATACGGGAAGCCCTATGAGCGAGGGGATATGAAGAATGGTTTTTCTCTAGGCTCAGTATCAAGATTAGCAATAACAGATACGAAATTACATTAGACTCAGAGCATCAGGATCAAGATTATCCGGATCTGGTCGACAGAAAACGGAAGATCCCAGAAGAGCCTCCGAGAGCAAGGAAGAAAGGGATAAGGGAGAGGTTTTTTATTCAGGCTCAGGGTCAAGCTTTGCAATAACAGATACGGAATTACCTTAGACTCGAGCACTGGTGGCCAGGTTATCCGGATCTGGTCGACAGAAAACGGAAGATCCCCAGCAGAGCCTCCCAGAGCAAGGAAGAAAGGGATAAGGGAGAGGTTTTTTATTCAGTCTAAGGATCAAGATTTGCAATAACAGATACGATTTTACCTTAGACTCGAGCACCTGTGGCCAGGTTATCCGGATCTGGTCGACAGAAAACGGAAGATCCCACCGATCTCTCCGAGCGCAAGGAAGAAAGGGATAAGGGAGAGGTTTTTTATTCAGTCTAAGGATCAAGATTTGCAATAACAGATACGATTTTACCTTAGACTCGAGCACCTGTGGCCAGGTTATCCGGATCTGGTCGACAGAAAACGGAAGATCCCAGCAGAGCCTCCGAGCGCAAGGAAGAAAGGGATAAGGGAGAGACTTTTTATTCAGTCTTAGACTCGAGCACCGGTGGCCAGGTTATCCAGATCTGGTCGACAGAGAACGGAAGATCCATCAGAGCGCCGTAAGGATGAAGAAAGGGATAAGGGAGAGGTGTTTTATGCAGTCTAAGAACCAAGATCTGCAATAACAGACATGAATTCACCTTACAGACATGTCGTGCCGACTCGAGCGCCGGTGGATGGCCAGGTCATCAGGATCTGGTCGACAGAAAACGAAAAGCGCCGTATGGATGGGGAGCTGATGAGAGGAGAGGGTTCTTTCTTCGGTCAGAACCAGAAGGGCTCTGCCGCGGAGAGATGGTGAGGAGAGGAGATTGCCAGCTGCAGATAGATAGGTAGATATGTTCAAATCAAAGGGTATTTTTGGAATTTAATTTTCACTTCCTCGATTCAACGCTCATCTGACATGTATCCCCACATTCATTCCTTAGCAATGTAAAAATATTAAAAAATACAGAGATAAATCCATCGCCAGTTAATTAATTCAAAGGGTATATACGGACGCTCCGCTGTCATCCATCTCGAAAGACTCCACGTGACGTGCCATCATGAAAACGAAATAGAACTAACAACATTTCTACATCGATTTAAACAAATAGGCCCACTGCTTTCATATTGAGCCCATGGGCCGCAGACTGATTAATAGTGGGGCCTACTCCGTCGTTAAATATAATCACTAAATAATTAAATAACCAAAACATGGTTATAACTTCGTCGTCAGTCGTCCAACGCCATTAATGTGCAGGACGAAATGTGAAACACAAATATAAAAAGATATACGCGAGAGATACCGATCCGTACGGAACCGCTGGTTTAGCGGTTAGTTCATGTTGCAGAAACCGGTTTATCGCTCCGGTTTTCCAGTTCGAGACATTATGATATAAGGGCAGTCCCTGCTTCACGTCGCAACAAGACGGCGAATACGAGGAGCGTACCACTTCACCTTCTCGATCTCCACTCTTACTTTCCAGCGACGACCTGCCCAATAACCGGAAAAAAACGATCGGTTATCACATTAACCGGGTCCTGTTTTCCCCTAATACCGAGTTCAAGAACCAATTTAACCACCAACCACATGCAGAAATTCAGAATGATATTTTTATTCAGTTAGCAAACATTTTTTTTTCTGTACATTCATCAATCTCAAGGACAAAACCCGGTTGCTGTAATGGTGTTCTTGTTTAAGAATGACAAGCTTCTGTTGTTATTTGTTAGCATATGCCATGATTCTTCTGTTGGATGCTTCAGTCAAGTAAATTCTGATTTTATGATGGCAAAAAGAAACAGTAAATTCGTGGTCAAACAAGTAACGCACAGACAAAGATTGTGAAAATTGAAGCAACTGAATTCAGAACATACATGTGATGTTTGTCAGGAAGTGAAACCATCTTATGGGCAGAGGAAATTACATCAGACTCCAAACGGACATATAATGTGATCAGCACAAGCCAAAAAGATCCGTGAAACCATTACTTCGGAAGGATAGAAGAAACCCATCAGTTCGTTTCCTATTGGCTTCCATTTTCTCATTGACAATGACAATGTGAACAAGGAACCTCACATACTCAGGCGAGACCATAAGCTTGTGAGTATCTCCCAGAGGAACCTCCATTCTTATCGAGCATCGTATAGCAATAATTACCCTTTTGCCATCGCCGCAAGAGGTGATCCCTGACTCCCTGAACCCGGCGGCTATAGCCGCCGACACAAGAAACTGAGCCGAACACAAGTCTTTGCATCCCAGGGCAATGATCAACGGCTCGAACCGGAAGACTAACTCGCTGGTCTGGTGAAGTCGGTCGACCCGAGTTGACTGAGCGGGGGAAAGGAGGGGAATCACCGAGTCGGGATCGGCCGAGTCGTGGGTGATGAAGATACACGTGAAAGACTCGTGTTAGACGATATCCTTGATATTCTGAATTTAACACAACTTAAAATTTGTGTTGAATGTATCAAGGGTAAGCAGACAAAACAAAGACGGTTAGATGCATCTAGAACTACGGATATCTTAGAATTGATACACACGGATATATGTGGACCTTTTCCTACGACATCTTGGAATGATCAACGATATTTTATATCATTCATAGACGATTATTCCAGATATGGTTATATGTATCTAATTCATGAGAAATCACAAGCACTAGATGTGTTCAAATCCTTTAAAGTAGAAGTTAGAAAATCAACTAAGCAAAAGGATTATAGCTATCAGATCTGACCGTGGTGGAGAATACTATGGTCGATATGATGATTCCGGTGAACAACATCAAGGACCTTTTGCTAAATACCTAGAGAAGTGTGATATTGTTCCTCAGTACACTATGCCGGAAACTCCTAGCATGAATGGTGTTTCTGAACGACGAAACAAAACACTCAAAGATATCGTAAGAAGTTTGTTAAGTCATACTATATTACCGGAATCTCTCTGGAGATAAACATTAAAGACAATAGAGTACCAACAAAAGTAGCGAAGCAAACTCCTTACGAGTTTTGGACATGGAAGAAACTAGTCTTAAAGTATTTAAGAGTTTGGGGTTATCCAACAGAGACTAAATATTATATCCCACATGAGGATAAATTAGATCCTCGATCAATTAGCTGTTATTTTGTTGTATATATTGAGAAATCAAGGTTGTACAAGTTTTACAATCCCAAGAACCGAACTATGTTCAAAACAGGAATAACACATTTCTTTGAGGATGTTGAGCTTGAGAGAGAGATAAAGTATGAGAAGTTGTCATTGAAGACGAATTCGTTGCTCTTTCGACTATAGTTGACTTTGATGTAACACATCAAGATCAACAAGACAACATTCAACTTCCTCAACAACCTCAAGAAGTTGATTTAGAAATTCAACCTCAACAAACTTAAGAAGAAATACTATTAAGGAGATCCATTAGAGAAAGAAGAAGTGCGATACCGGGCAATTATATCGTGTTTCTTCAAGAGAATCAAGAATGCTTAGATTTGATTGATGATGATCCAATCAACTTCAGGCAAGTCTTGCAAAGCTCGGATTCTCAAAAGTTGATAGATGCCATGAATGATGAGTACAAGTCCATGTAAAACAACAATGCCTGGGAAATTATTCCATTACCTGATGGCACGAAACCTATTGGTTGTAAATGAATATTTAAAACAAAAAGAGATTCTAAGGGTAATGTGGATAAGTATAAAGCTCGTCTTGTAGCTAAAAGATTTACTCAGAAAGAATGCATTTAGTACAAAGATATTTTCTCTCCAGTTTCATCGTAAGATTGTTTTAGAACCATAATGGCATTAATAACTTATTATGACTTAGAGTTACATCAGATGGATGTAAAGACGACATTTCTCAATGGAGACATTGATGAGACGATCTATATGCAACAACCAGAAAACTTTGTAATTGGAGATGCAAAGACAATTGTTTGCAAATTAAAGAAATCCATCTACATGCTAAAACAGGAATCCCGTCAATGGTATCACAAATTCTGACAAGTAGTTTGCTCATTCGGTTTGAGTCAAACGCTGTTGAGGAATGCGTATATCATAGGTTCAGTGGGAGTAAATATATTTTCCTAATTTTGTATGGTGATGACGTACTGTTAACCTCAAACGATATAGGTTTGATGCATGAAACTAAGACTTTTTTATCAAAGAAATTTGAGATGAAATATCTTGGCAATACAATCTTTGTATTAGGAATCCAGATACATCGAGAACGTACTTGAGGTATTCTCGGATTATCACAAAGGCACTATATCGAAAAGGTATTTGCGAGGTTCGATATGAAAGACTGCAAGATGGAAAACACCCCTATTGCTAAAGATGACAAGTTTAGTTTTGCACAATGTCCGAAGAATGACATTGAGCAAAAACAGATGGAAGGCATTCCTTATGCTTCAGTATTTGGAAGCTTAATGTACGCTCAATGTGTACGCGTCCAAATTTAACGTACGCAGTTGGGATGTTAGGAAGATATCTAAGTAATTCTGGTGTAGATTATTGGAAAGCAACCAAAAGGGTTTTAAGGTATTTATAGAAAGCCAAACATCTCATATTGACTTATAGAAAATCAGATCATTTGGAGATCAAAGGATATACTGATTCTGATTTTGCTGGATACCAAGACAGTCGTCGATCCACTTCAGGCTATGTTTTTCTGTTAGTCGGTAGAGTTGTGTCATGGAAAAGTGTTAAACAAACACTAATGGCAGCTTCAACCATGGAAACAGAGTTTATAGGATAGAGAAAGATTTTTTTACCCTTTCTTCCATAGAGATGGTGGTCTCAGTAACATCACAACGGACGCTGGATGAACAACACACTGTAAGGCTAAGACGATAATTTAACAGCAACACAAACGGGAGATTGAAGTACCTGAAAGCCCTCGCTGAGAAACCCAAAGACGTCTTCCCATTCGCTGATAGCTGCAACTGCGAGAACTTCATTGATAAGTCATTTTTGATTTGGGAATCCCCAAAAATAAGTTAAAGAACCACAGTCACACGCAATTCAATGAAGCACTAGGAGATTACGCCACGTAAGACACCAAACATAACAATTTCTAAATGTAGATCCCACGCCTATGACCACCAAATCATGCATGTTCATGCTCAATCATTCTAAATCCTGTTCGATTGGAATCCAAACATCCTCTAAATTCCAATGAAAAGATCTGTCTGTTTTATTAGAACTTGAACCAGTTTACATGCAATTCTGTATGATTCTACAAGACATGCTGACCAAATGAGCAGATACATTATCAATGCTGAAAGTAACATCTAGGTACCACGTGAGATACAATACCCTTTTCCTCGGCTAAAACGTGGTAGAAATAGAAATAATAATAATAATAATAATAATAATAATAATACACAACATCGGACACCGTGACAGACGCCGTGTTTGGAATTAGCATAAGGCTATAGATTCTAAATTCCAATGAAAACGAAACGCATTCTCTCAACCAAAAAAGATAGCTAAAGGAAGACAAATCGTACGGATTTGTAAGGGGAGAAAGAGGCGGAGTGGAGCTCGTGGCGGAGGAGAGGAAAGGCGATAGTGGCCATAGATCGATGGCTGGTTCCGAGAGAGGACGAGTTCGGGCCCAAAGATCTGATAGCGAATCTGAGAGACGACATCGAGGCCTTGCTCAGCAACCTCTTGCAAGCAGAACTCATCATGAAAGGATGGTCGAAATCCACCAAAACGAAAAGAGTGGAGATTGTTTTGCTTTTCGAGTGGAGGGAAAGTGGGATAACAACAATTAGGGTTTATGGAGTGTGGGACGAAGGAAACGAAAGAAAGAAAAAAAAACCTATTAAACGCAATCGCCTTGCTTTTCCTTTTGGGTCGCTTTCTAACCATTGGGCTTTTCGAGTAAATTTTGAAACTATGGGTTACTAAAGTAAAATCTGAACATTTACTTTATTAATACCAACAAAATCCTGTTTTATGACTGTATTTTGAATATTGTCATGCGCAAACATAAATCGAGCAAGGGGCATTGCCCCATTAGAACCAAACAACCCTGGATGTGTTATTTTTATCTGTGTTCTGAATCTGGTCGACAGAAAACGGAAGATACCCATCACAGTGCCATAAGGATGAAGAAAGAGATGGGAGAGGTTTTTTATTCAGTCTAAGACGAGATATGCAATAATAGACATGAATTCACCTTACAGACATGTCGTGCCGACTCGAGCGCCCGTGGACGGCCAGGTCATCAGGATCTGGTCGACAGAAAACGGAAAGCGCCGTATGGATGGGGGAGATGATGAAAGGAGAGGGTTCTTCCTTCGCTGTAAGACATGTATCCCCACACTCATTCAGTAGCCATGTAAAAAGAGATAAATCCATCGCCAGTTAATTAATTCATACGCGTCTACGGACGCTCCGCTCTCGTCTCATCCATCTCGAGGGGACCCCACGTGACGTGCCATCATGAAAATGAAATAGACCTAATAGCATTTCTACATCGATTTAAACAAATGGGCCCACTATTTTCATATTGGGCCCATGGGTCGCAGACTGATTAATAATGTGGCTACTCCGTCGTTAAATATAATCAATAAATAATTAAATAACAAAAAAGGAGGGGAATCACCGAGTCGGGATCGGCCGAGTCGTGGGTGATGAAGACACACGAGCTTCCGGCGGCTTTCTTCTTGGTCGATGAATTCAATGGAGATTTGGGCTGAGAAAGGCTGGAGATTCGGCCGGAGCAGGAGCTGGTGGCGAAGTACGAAGGGTGATGGTTGATGGTGTCGAGGAGAGGGATGATGGGTTCTTCGGGACTTCCTTTCGGTGATTTATCCGTCGCCGAAGAGCCCAATATCGCTAAAGTTGCCGCCTTCCTCTTCCCGAGCTCCATCTCTCCCTCTCTGTTGGAGAAACCCTGCAACAACGGCATGGTAACCAAAAACTGATAAACCCTTTACCTTGGATGAAGACGACGGACGAAACGGCGATGACGGTTGCCGTTTTGATTTTAACGACTACGTTTCAAAGAAAATGGAAAAGTCTGTCGCTGTCTCTCTCTGCTCATTTCGTTGGTAAAACATTAGTAACTCGGTCTCGTTCTTGAATTGAAACCTGTAGACCGCTTAACAATCTTTCTTTTTGTTCGTTCATTTACAGACAAATGAGCATGTAAATAGTAGAAGTGTTTCGGTTATTTAAAAACAAAACCAAACCGAACTAATTTATATACTATCCATTAATACTTTTATGTATAAGTAAAGAAACTAGTATAATTAGATTGTCTATATAGTTCCATGACTATGATATATAATCAAATGAGACTTGTAACATTTTTTTTCTATTAATATCTCAAAATTTGGTTCATTCATTATATTATAACTGAATAAAATCGAATTTATATTTCAGAGCTGAAGTCTTTCCTCCTCTTTCCTGATGCTCAAAGTCAAACGATCTCTATTAAAACCATACAAAGCTAAGAGAAGAGAGGAACAGAAGTAAAGTCTATTCTTAGCCTCTAGAGCAGCGTCCTTTTTTTTTTCTTATATATTTTACACTCTGCCGCGGCGATCTCGACTGCGTTCTTTCCCACTCCAAAGCCCCCGCCTATGCCATCATCGGGTGAAATGGAGAAGGATACTTTGACTGGTCCATCACTTAAACAACCACGAATGCTGAAGAAAGCTTTGGTGACAGTTATTCCAAGGTGTGCTTCGGCAAATTCCTTCAATTTCGAGACAACAAATGCCCCAATCTGGCCACGAGAGTACTTTTGCCCGTTTGCTTCGACCCAAGCATCGTCATTTGGAGCTTCAACAATCTTGCACGGTGCCACTTCCATCTGTGTCTGAGAGCCTTCAAACCGTTTCGTTGAGGTTCCCACAAGGAGTTCACCCTTGTGGTTAATGCCAACCATTGAAAGAGTTTCTTGGGCATTCTCAATCTGTAACACAAGATGAGATCCAATAAACTTGAGCAACAAGTAAACTCATTTCCAAAAGATGGGGGCGGCAAAGAAAGTTTCTTTTTTTTTTTTTTTTACCTTTCCTTCCATGGAATTGGTGGTATCCAAGTCACTCTCTCCGGAGGAAGATCCTTTAGGCATGTGTTGACCTATTTTCGAAAGAGCGTCCCTTGCACCTTCTAACTTATCCCAGCACTTGAAGAGACTATGTTCGCAATATTCTCGCTGGGATCTCCTGTATAGAGCCATAGCTTTTTCAATCTCTTTCGCAATCTCGGCAGGGATCTTCTCTCTGTACTTGTTCAACCACTTCTCAAAATTGTCGACACTAAAGTGAGATCTATTGTCAATCAGAAAGCCCAACTCCATTTCTTTCTCGCTGGCTTCGTCTTTGGCCAAGATAATATCTCCGTTATGGTAATCATAGTCGAAGGTTACTTCGACTTGTGCATCCCTGAAACAAGCTGGAACCATAACAGTAAAATTCCAGATAGTTCTTTTACAGTATTCTTGGGCATATTCATCCATTTGCGCGAGCAAAAAAGCTCCAATCTGGAAAGGAGAGTATTTTTGCCCGTTTGCTTCGACCCAAGCATCGCCATTTGGAGCTTTAACAATCTTGCACGGTACTATTTCCATTTCCGTCTGTATCTGAGAGCCTTCAAATTGTTTGGTTGAGGTTCCCACAAGGAGTTCACCCTCGTGGTTAATAGCAACCACTGAAAGAGTTCCTTGGGCATTCCCAATCTATAGTAACACAAGATGGGATCCAAAATACTTGAGCAAGTAAACTCATTTGCAAAAGATGAGGGTGATAGAAAAAGCTTTTTTTTTTGTTTACCTTTTCTTCCACATAGATGGTGGTATCCAAGTCAATATCAAGATCATCCTTCCAGGAGCTGGATGAACAACACACTGTAAGGCTAAGACGACAATTTAACAGCAACACAAGCGGGAGATTGAAGTACCTGAAAGCCCTCGCTGAGAAATCCAAAGACGTCTTCCCATTCACGGAAAGCTGCAACTGCGAAAGCTTCATTGATAAGTCATTTTTGATTTGGGAATCCCTAAAAATAAGTTAAAGACTGAGTTCAATGAAGGACTAGGAGATTACTCCGCATAAAACAACAAACATAACAACGTAGATCCATGACCACCAAAACACACATATTCATCCTCGATCATTCTAAGCCCAATTGGATCTGGGAATCCAAACATCCGCTAGATTCCAATGAAAACGAAACGTAATCTATCAACCAAAAAAGATACATAAACATACAAGAAAATGAACACGAATCGTACGGATTTATAAGCGGAGTAGAGCTCCCGTCGGCGAGAGGCGACAATTGTCATAGATGGATTGCTGGCTCGGCCTGAACATCTGACAGCGGATCTGAGAGGCGACAGTGAGACATTGCTCAGCAATCTCTCGCAAACAGAACTCACCATCACGACGAAAAGAGAGGAGACCGTTTTGCTTCCGGAGCCGAGGGAAAGGGGGATTAGGGTTAGTTACCAAAAAAAAAAAGGGGGATTAGGGTTTATGGAGGGTGGGAGGGAACTGTTGGTTGGAATATATATAGTAACGGAGCAAGATGAAGACGTAAACTTGGGCAACAAGGCGTCGGGAAAGTCTTGAAAGGAAATGGAGGATCCCCAAACATCGAACACGCCACCAAACAAGGCCCTTGGGTTGAGTTGGAAGCTTCCCAATCAGCATGTAATCGACAAATAAAGGGAGAATATCCTACCAATTAATGATATAAATATTTTGGAGAAAATGATGCAATCAATTAAAATTAGCTAAAAAGATTCGGTTAACATTGACATTACTAGTCAAATTAATAAAGATGCATGTTGAGAGAGAGAGAATGGAAGAGAGTTTTTTAAATTAAAAATAAAGATACATGTCTTCAATCATTTATTGTATTGGTTCGGTGAAAATGCTCTTTAAATGTTGATAAATATTTGTTATGGTTCTCTTATCATTTATGGAATTTTGTTAATTAATGTATTTTATGTGATTTTATGATTCTTTGTATGTACCTAAATTAAATTTCTATATATATAAATTTTTCAAAAGATAACCACAAGCATTCCCCTATTTTCTCTAACAATTGATTTTCTCTGTCAAATCTTTATAGGGTTACTTCCAAAAATAATCCTCAATTTGTCAAAAGCTAGAAAACTAATTCATGTACTTGTAGTCTTCCATAATAATTATTGAATTTGAAAAATTAGACATTAAAATACCCAAACTTGATAAAAATACTGTAACTAAAAGTGTTGACCAACGTTGATAACAAACAACGTTAAACATTGCTGATATGACGAGACATCATAATGATATGCAATCTCACCAAAATTAGTTAATTTTGGATCGGTTTAATCGAACCAGACCGGTTGAATAATTTATTTTTATTAAAATAATGTTACTTTTTTTTCTATTTTTTACTTTTTCATCTCTTGAACGTCATTTCAGAAAGTAAAAAAAAAAAAACCTAAATCCTATGTTTCTCTCTATCAATTTTTCAAACTAGTGTTCCATGTATCCTTCAAAATTTACAAAAAAAAATGAAAAAAAATAGATGACGAGTTATAATTTGTAAAAGTACCGATCTCTCAATAAATATCATAGTTATAGAGTAGTATGTGTTTTTATGTGATTTGGTTTTATGAACAATATTATTATTCTATATAGACTCTTTGAATTGAGTGGGCTTTGACTGCACGGCCCATGTTCCAGTTTTCCATTCACCTATGGGCTCATACTTCACCGAGCTTCGTCGTCTCCAGCCGGGCAATCTTCTGCCCTAATAATCTACCACCGTTTCGCCGTCCGTCGCCGGCGAAGTTCGCCGTCTCCGGCGATCAATGTTTTGATATTCAGGAAATAGAGTGAAAATTCGCGCAGTCCGGGCAACGAGAACTCCAATTCTTCGAATATCTCATCGTTTTCGAACAGATTATGCTCATTGATGGCTCGCTTGTGACGAAATGCCTCCAGATGACTATGTTAGTATTTCAGCCGCTCTCTCTGCTTGTGCTAATTTGCCTGCACAACATCATGGAAAAGAGATTCATGGTTTCATTACGAAACATCAAATTGCTGATGTTCATGCCGAGAGTGCCTTGATACTTGATAGACATGTATGCTAAGTGTGGAAACCTTGATTCTGCTAGACACATGTTTGAGATGATGAGAGAAAAGAATGAAGTTTCGTGGAATAGCATCATTGCTAAAAGATGCCCTCTTTCTATTCCATAAAATGGTTGAGAATGGAATTCAGCCTGATCAAAACACTTTTCTGGCAATAATATCTGCATGTGGTCATGTCGGAGCTGTTGATGAAGGAGTTCATTACTTCGAATCTATGACGGAGGGTTATGGAATGCCTGCTCAGATGGAGCATTATGCATGTATGGTGGACTTGTTTGGACGAGCTGGTCGTTTGAATGAAGTCTTTGAGACCATAAAAAGCATGCCATTTCCGGCAGATGCAGGAGTTTGGGGACACTGCTTGGAGCTTGCAGAGTTCACAGAAATATCGAGCTTGCCAAAGTTGCTTCGGGTAATCTATTGGATTTGGATCACCAGAATTCGAGTTACTATGTTTTGCTCTCAAATACTCATGCCAATGCTGGGCACTGGGAAAACGTGCTTAGTGTAAGAAACTTGATGAAAGAGAGAGGAGTACGAAAAATACCCGGTTGGAGTTGGATTGAAGTCAACAAAACAACTCATGCAGTTGTTGCAGCTGAAGGAAGTCACCCACAGTCTGGGCAGGTCTACTCCTTGCTGAAGTTGCTTCTCGAGGAGTTGAAGAGAGAGAAGGCTATATTCCACAGCCCTTACCTTCCAATGCACCCACAGACGTTGAGAGTGTCTGCCCATCATCTCTCCTGTCCCGATAGCTAAATTTCACCACCACAGAATGTAGCAAAAAAGATCCTTGGACATTCGTGGTTGCAAACAGGTAAAGATTGATGCGAGTGCCTTTTATTTTTATGGTATAAAAGCTGTAGGGTTCTTTTACTACTGTCATTGCTGGGCATGATTATTTGAAAGTTATTTGAAATCTGATTAGGCATTTTTAATTAACATGTGAAGATTTATGCTTGTTGTCAGGAGAGTCCAGGACTGTTTGAACTCTGAATCACTAAAGGTATGCTCCATATGACTTGACTACATTAGTTTGATCTTTTGTGCAATTTATTGTTCTATATCTTCCATTTGCTGTGTGAAGAATTTATGCTTAAGTTACAGGAATCTCTTCAGATGCCGCATTCTCATATTGTACTCCATTGATTCTCTTCTAAGGGTGCAGTACTCTGCTGAATCGATGTGGTTAGTTTCTTCTTTCTTGATATGAGAAGATTTTGTTTCTGTTCTTTAGCTTCGTTTCTTAATGAGTAAAACCTGGATTGGAAAATATATTTTAACTGATTGCATTGTGTTCTCAGGACAAGTGACGTCTGATTAGGACCTAAACCTGTTCTCACTTCTCATAAAGGAGGTGGTGTTGTCAATCTGATGATGGATCATTGAAATCAGTTTTTTGGTGATGATTTCGAGAAGGATCCGGTCTCCATATTGCGATGTCTAGTCAAGGCTTCTTCCTTCTCCCATCTTCTCATAAGACGGTGTCTCTCCCCGAAGGTAAGATCGGTTACTGTAGTTCTATACTGTTGAGTATAGTGACTTTGATCATTGCTGAGTAATCAAAATTGTATGGCACTCAAAGTGATGACATATGGATCTTCATCTGCAGGTTCATGGGTTGTTTTCGCATCATTTCTAAACAATGCAGGAACAAACGAACATCAAAGATCAGGTTGAAATCAATAAAGCCAGAGTCATGCTTGATTGCAGCATGGAGAAAACCCTATGACCAGGTATGATCCTGACAAAACATCAGAACCAATGTTGTAATCTCTGTAAGTCCAAGATTCTATTACACATAAAGTATGCTCAAGATCCACATCAAGAAACCGAAAATTTCCCGACATTTTCCAGAGACTTATTTAAATTGCGCATTAGATACAATATTGTTTCTTTTGTTCATCCTTTTTTGCTCAAAAACACTTGCTCTGTCTCATCTTCCTTGGTTCTTTCTTTGACAGAGTGGACAAGACAGGGAGGAGGCGCAACATACAAAATTGCCAGCCCCCTCTTTACATATACATTTAAACTCTTTCGAAACGTGAAATATTACGTTTGCGGTTTGACGACGATGACGCTGATGCAACAATCAATTTCTCATGCATCCAAACGCAACTCGGAAAACGGAGGAGATTCTATGGCATTTGCGTTGCGACAGCTGCGGCAAATGAGCGTTTTTGCCACCGCAGCTGTTGCAAGTCTTCAGCAAGACAATCACATCTTCAGATGCTCACCTCTGTTCTTGGAAGGTATATAGCGTTGTTTTCCGAAGGTTTCTATATACGTTAACATAGAAAATGATTGGATTTCAAAGATTTGTTCGGCGAATTTCGTGTTACAGTGAAGAAGAAGCCAAAAAGGCACTGATCTATAGTTACAGCAATGGCTTTTCTGGCTTTGCAGCCAAGCTTTCACCACCCATGGCAGAGATGATCATGGCGGAAGAAGTGGTCGAGGTCGAAGTTGGAACCGTGGTCGTGGTCGTGGTTTTGGAAGAAACTTTGGAGGAAGGTACGATAAATCTTGGATTCAATGTCATATTTGCAAGAAATTTGGTCATTATTTCTATGAATGTTAGCATAATCCCGATAATGATCGGGGAGAGAAAGTCAATATAGTCAACAAAGAAGACGGTGATACAGAAGAAGTGTTGATGTTATCACAACCGGTGAAAATCAAAGACATGATACCAGAGGAAGCTTGGAGCTTACGAAAGCCGAAGGTTGATCATCTCAGAATCTTCGGGTGTGTGGCATATGCAAAAGTGCAGGAAGGAAAAAGGCGAACAAAGCTTGAGGATCAAGGTTAGAAATGCATATTTTTGGGTTATGGTGAAAATTGCAGGGGATTGTATAATCTCGACACTCGCAAAATCATAATGTCTTGAGATGTTGAGTTTGATGAGGAGAAGAGTTGGGATTGGAATGGTAGCAATCAATCGCAGAGGATCATTCTTGACGAAGGTGAGGAAAATTTACCATTCCGAGTTATCCAGAACCGTTTTGATAGCGGCGATTCTAGTAGCTCACCCATGAAAAAGATGAAGAGTATTCAGGAGATTTGTGATACAACTTAACCGATAGAATCTATGTTTGATGATGAGTTTACTAATTTTTGTCTATCTATTGGATTTGAAGAAGTTACCAGGAAGAAGAGGCGGATAAAGACCAAAGATACATTTCAATCTTTTCGGAAGAAGCTCGGAGTCCAAGTTCGAGGAGGAACAAGTTTAAGGGGGATAATGTTGGAGTATAAACTTGTTTTGGTGTCCTAGAAGTTTGTGTTCATCTAGAGTCTTGTGTTCCTAGAATTCTACAACTTAGACTAAATTAATATTGTATGATTATGAAGAGTTGGTAGAATCTTCCTAAGGCTAGTATATATATATGTGTCATTTGAAGTTTGTAATAATAACAAAAACACAAGAAAAGAAATAAAAAGAAGTGTTTGAGTTTTTTTTTTCTCTTCTCTTCACATTATCTATTACCATTTCTGGAAACAACAAAGAAAAGATTCTGAATTTAATATTAGCTGAAAGTAATTGAAACTGTATTTTAATTTTCATGAAAAGGTACCTCTCAACAAGGTTCTTGATGGATGTGGCATCAACTCTACCTTGTGAAGCAATTGGATACTTGGTCACTGGCAAACCGAATCTGAGCATCTCTTGCTCGCTCCTTGGATTGCTCAGATTTTGGCGAATCCGACGTGTCAAGCATCTCTTCACAAGGTAAGTTTCTCGGTTCGAACCATTATCTTATCGCTTACCGACCAAACCTGTTCAAGTTAGTGAAAGAGCATCGGATGGCCTCTGTCTTCCTGTCTTTTCAGGCTCGCGAAGGACATAAGGTTCAGCTACCTCTGGGTCCGTTGCCTCCGTCTTCTATCCGTGAGTGGCAAGAGATGCTTCTTACTCAGAATTGCCATATAAATAAACATAACATCTTAAATACTGCCGCATTATATAAAAAAAAACGTCTTAAATACCGCAGTATAGATACGAATTGAAACTCTTAATACATGGAACGAGTCTTTCGGTAAGATACATCTCAGCCATTTACTGGTCTATCACCACAATGACCACTGTGGGCTATGGAGATCTGCATGCAGTCAACACCATGGAGATGATGATATTCATCATATTCTACATGCTCTTCAATCTCGGCCTCACTGCTTACCTTATAGGTTGCATGACTAACTTGGTTGTGGAAGGGGGACTGTCGTACCATGGAATTCGTGAGTCTCCTTTCACTGCTTTTGTAATATTTCAGAAATTTTCCTCCTTTTTTCCTGGATGTGCTGTATTGGGTCGGTTTCCGAAAAGGGTATTTTTGTAATTACGGATTCAAAAACAGTGCGATGTGAAACTTGTGGAAAGCAGAACGTTCAGTTTAGAACGAGAAAACAAAATATGTACGTTCGATCGCGCGATCGTGTGTTTAACAATCGCTCTACCGTCTGAGACCATAAGTCGATCGGGGTCTCGGACAAAATTGCTCAGATTTGACGATAGAGCGATAACCCCTACCAAACGATCGTAAAAATCAATCAATCGTTTACTGTAAAATATTTAACACAATTCATTCTAATTTCAAAGTTGTATATTATTGTTAAGGAAAATTGATATTGAAGAAGAGATGTGTATGTATATATATATTTTTTTTATTCAATCATAATAACAGTTTACGTTCAAATTAAATCAACATAGGTTAATTGAGTAAATTTGTTGAAATCCTTAAAAAAAATAGGAAAAATTCTAGAAAAATACAACAATATGTCTAAATATACGGCAATCGATATTTCAGTATCGATGTTGTACGTTTTGACAAATTGTGGTATTTTTATATAATTTTTCCAAAAATTTATTTGCAGTCTATTTGTCTGGGCAACAATCTATAATTTTTCTTGGAGAAGATTTTGTAAAATGCGTCAGTACAAATATTTTAATTTGTAAATATTTCGAGAAAAAAATTGAATATACAATCTTTTTTTTCCTAAATGGAAACATTACCTTTCTAGTAAACAAATACAAGGTAAAAATAATAAACTTTTCCTTTTTAAAATCCTCCCCAAGAAAATCGATGACCAATACTTTCATGTTTAAGCGTAGGGAAGATTTTGGGTTAACTTCAAGAATCAAGACCAAGGCCAATGATTAGGGTTAAATGGACGGAGTTTTTATAATTCCCCTTTTTAGAATCCAAACCTCAAAAAATCGGTTTAATGAAATATTGGTTATATAAACCTCACTAAACCGGTTTGGTTAAGTAAAACTTGTATCGAAGAAGACCATGTGACGATGTTTCTCCATACATAATACCCTTTTCCTCACCCAAAACATGGTGGAAATAATAATACACTAAAAGAGAAGACAACATAAGACACTGTGACAGAGGAAGACAAGTCTTATTCTTAGCCTCTGTTGCAGCATCCCTTTCTTCTTAAGCATTGAGTTTAATGCGGTCGTTCAGATCCATCTGCCGCTCTCGAATTTATTCGAATTTATGCCTTTTCCAGTAGGGTAGTATCTCTTCGGCCAACGCAGTAACTACGCCACCGTCGGGCGAAATGGAGAAGGTTACTTTGACTGGTACGTCCAGTACATAACCCCACAGCTTGAAGTCAGCTTTGGTGACAGTTTTCCCAAGGTGTGCTTCGGCAAATTCCTTCATTTTCGAGACAACAAAAGCTCCAACCTGGCTGGGAGAGTACTTCCGCCCGTTTGCCTCGACCCAAACATCGCCATTTGGATCTTCAACAATCTTGCACGGCGCCATTTCCATCTTTGTTTCTGTCTGAGAGCCTTCAAACCGTTTGGTCGAGGTTCCCACAAAGAGTTCACCCTCGTTGTTAATAGCAACCACTGAAAGAGATCCTTGGGCATTCTCAATCTGTAACACAAGTTCGGATCCAATGCACTTGAGCAAGTAAACTCATTTTCAAGAGATTGAGAAAGTTTTTTTTTTACCTTATCTTTCATAGAAGTTTTAGACAGTTTTTTTTTTACCTTTTCTTTCATAGAATTTTTAGACATGTGTTGCCCTAATTTCGAAAGAGCATCTCTTGCACCTTTCAACTTGTCCAAGCCCTTACAGAAACTCTTTTCGTCATACGGTCGTTCTTCTCTCTTGTGTAGAGACACAGCATTTTCAATCTCTGTGGCAATCTCAGTAGGGATCTCCTGTCTATACTTGTTCAACCACCTCTCAATATTGTCGACAGTCGTGTGATAGCCACTGTCGATCAGAAAGTCCAACTCCATTTCTTTCCCGGTGGCTTCTTCTTTGGCAAAGACAGTATATTCTCGGTCCCAGAAACTGGTGTAGAAGGATACGTCGATTTCTACATCCCTCAAACAAGCTGGAACCTTAACAATAAGCCTACGGATACGTCCTTCAAGGGTGTTTGAGACAAATTCCCTCATTTGCGCGAGAAAAAATGCTCCAATCTGGAAAGGAGAGAATTTTTGGCCGTTTGCTTCGACCCAAGCATCCCCATTTGGAGCTTTAACGATCTTGCACGGTGCCATTTCCATCTCCGTCTGTGTCTGAGAGTTTTCACAAGGAGTTCCCACAAGGAGTTCACCCTTGTCGTTGATAGCAAGCACGGACATAATTTCTTGAGCATTCTCAATCTGTAATAACACAAGATGGGATCCAAAATACTTGAGCAAGTAAACTCATTTCCAAAAGCTGAGGGCGATAGAAAAAGCTTTTTTTACCTCTTCTTCCACAGAGATGGTGGTATCCAATTCAATACCAAGATCATCCTTCCAAGAGCTGGATTTCCAAGAGCTGGATGAACAACACACTGTAAGGCTAAGACGATAATTTAACAGCAACACAAGCGGGAGATTGAAGTACCTGAAAGCCCTCGCTGAGAAACCCAAAGACGTCTTCCCATTTGCAGATAGCTGCAACTGCGAGGGGAGAGCTTCATTCATAAATAATTTTTGAAATTAGCATAAGGCAGATTCCAGTGAAAACGAAACACAATTTCAAAACCAAAAAAGATGCATAAACACACGAGGAAAAAAAAAGACGAATCATACGGATTTGAGAGCGGAGGTGGAGCTCGCGGCGGCGGAGAGGAGAGGTGGCAGTGGCCATAGATCGATTGCTGGCTCCGACAGAGGATGGATTAGTATGGGTTAGTGTCCGGAGATCTGATATGAGAGGCGACAGTGAGGCATTGCTCAGCAATCTCTCGCAAACAGAACTCACCATCACGACGAAAAAAGAGGAGATCGTTTTGCTTCCGGAGCCGAGGGAAAGGAGGATTAGGGTTTATGGAGGATGGGAGGGAACTGTTGGTTGGAATATATATAGTAACGGAGCAAGATGAAGACCTAGACTTGGGCAACAAGGCGTCGGGAAAGTCTTGAAAGGAAATGGAGGATCCCCAAACATCGAACATGCGACCAAACAAGACCCTTGGGTTGAGTTGGAAGCTTCCCAATCACCATGTACTCGACAAATAAAGGGAGAATATCCTGCCAATTAATGATATAAATATTTTGGAGAAAATGATGCAATCAATTAAAATTAGCTAAAAAGATTCGGTTAACATTGACATTTTTAGTCAAATTAATAAAGATGCATATTTAGAGAGAGAGAGAATGTAAGAGAGTTTTTTAAATTAAAAATAAAGATACATGCCTTCAATTATTTATTGTATTGGTTCGGTGAATTACTCTTTAAATTTTGATAAATATTTGTTATGGCTCTCTTGTCATTTATGGAATTTTGTTAATTAATGTATTTTATGTGATTTTGGAGAAAATGATGCAATCAATTAAAATATTTATTATGGCAAGTTTGATAGGCAATGCACTTTTCCATCACGGTTTTGCCGTGCAGATTCACCATTTTCCGAGTGAAAATGGATATAAGAAGACATTTTTAAACCCCGGGTCATTGTTCTTTTGACAGGGAAGTATTTGAATTTTGAAGGTAAATGACGGTTCAAACATGCAGTGTGTCATGAACAAGGGTATGCTCAGGTACAATACAGCCCTCAGGGCCTGAAAATTCATCAATCTTTCAAGTTTTAATCCACATTCATGAGCTGCACAATAGCTGGAATTCTGATAGTTTCGACACATTCTACATAACTAGCACAAGGCTACAGGCCAACAAATACGAGACAAACAGTTTAATGATGAGAAAATTGTTAACCAATGTTGCTTAATCTAATGATAAGAAACGCCTATTCTTAGCCTCTATTGCAGCCTCCATTTTCGGCATGATCTCACCGTCCTTCTTTCCCACCACAGCACTCTTGAGTTCAGGCACAGCGGCTTCACACTCTGCCGCAATCTCGACTGGGATCTTCTCTCTGTACTGTCTCAAGATACTGCAGAGATGCTGCCTCTGATTTTTTCCAGAAGAATTCGTCTTCGGCCACCACAGTAACTACACCATCGTCGGGTGAAATTGAGAAGGATACTTTGACTGGTCCATCACTTAAACAACCACGAATGATGAAGATAGCTTTGGTGACAGTTTTTCCAAGGTGTGCTTCGGCAAATTTGTTTATTTTCGAGACAACAAACGCTCCAATCTGGCAAGGAGAGTACTTTCGCCCGTTTGCTTTGACCCAAGCATCGCCATTTGGAGCTTTAACAATCTTGCACGGTATCATTTCCATCTTCGTATGTGTCTGAGAGCCTTCAAATTGTTTGGTCGAGGTTCCCACAAGGAGTTCACCCTCGTGGTTAATAGCAACTACTGAAAGAGTTTCTTGGGCATTCTCACTCTGTAATAACACAAGATGGGATCCAATACACTTAAGCAAATAAACTCATTTCCAAACGATGAGGGCGATAAAAGCTTATTTACCGGAGGAAGATCCTTTGGACATGTGTTGACCTATTTTCGAAAGAGCGTCTCTTGCACCTTTCAACTTGTCCTGGTACTTGTTGAAACTATGATCGCAATAGTTTTGCTGGGCTCTCCTGTATAGAGACATAGCTTTTTCAATCTATTTCACAATCTCGGCAGGGATCTTCTCTCTGTACTTGCTCAACCACTTCTCAACAAGAAAGTAAGACTTAAGGGGGAGTAAGTCCATTTCTTTCTCGCTGGCTTCGTTTTTGGCCAAGACAATAACTTCGTTATGATGATCAATGTCGAAGGTTACTTTGATTTGTGCGTCCCTTAAACACGCTGGAACCATAACAGTAAAACTCCTCTTAGTTGTTTCACGGTATTCTTGGGCATATCCATCCATTTGCGCGAGCAAAAAAGCTCCAATCTGGAAAGGAGAGTACTTTTGCCCGTTTGCTTCGACCCAAGCACCACCATTTGGAGCTTTAACAATCTTGCACGGTACCATTTCCATCTCCGTCTGTGTCTGAGAGCCTTCAAACTGTTTGGCCGAGGCTCGTACAAGGAGTTCACCCTCGTGGTTAATAGCAACCACTGAAAGAGTTCCTTGGGCATTCTCAATCTGTAACACAAGATGGGATCCGATAAACTTGAGCAAATAAACTCATTAGCAAAAGATGAGAGCGTAGAGAAAGGGTTTTTTTACCTTCTCTTCCATAGTATTGGTGGTACTCAAGTCAATACCAAGTACGTCATTTTCGGCACTGGATGAACAACACACCTTAAGGCAAGACAATAATTTAACAGCAACACAAACGGGAGATCAAAGTACCTGAAAGGCCTCGCTAAGAAACCAAAAGGCGTCTTCCTATTTGCACATAGCTGCAATTGTTAGAGGTTCATTCATAAATCCCTTTTTATTTGACTTCCCATAATCAGTTAAAAGATAAAAAAAATAACAACTTCTAAATGTAGATATGAACCCCAAACCACACATATTCATACTCGATCATTCCAATGAAAACGAAACGCAATTTCTCAACCAAAAAAGATACATAAACACACAAGAAAATGTAGTAGACTAATCGTACAGATTTATAAGCAGAGTGGAGCACGCGGCGGCAGAGATGAGAGGTGGTAGGACATAGATCGATTGCTGGCTCCGCCCGAAGATCTGACAGTGAATCTGAGAGGCAACAGTGAGCCCTTGCTCAGCAATCTCTTGCAAGCAGAACTCATCATGAGAGGATGGCCAAAATCCACGAAGACGAAAAGAGCGGAGATCATTTTGTTTCTGGAGCTGAGGGAAAGGGGATTAGGGTTTATGGAGGGCGGGAGGGGACTGTTGGTTGAAATATACATAGTAACGGAGCCAGATGAAGACCTAGACTTGGGCAACAAGGCGTCGGGAAAGCCTTGGAGGGAAATGGAGGATCCCCAAACAAGACCCTTGGGTCGAGCTGGAAGCTTCCCAATCAGCATGTAATCGACAAATAAAGGGAGAATATCATACCGATTGTTCGACCCGGTTAAATGGTTAACCCATTAAATCCATTATATATTTAGTTAAAATTAAACTCATTTTGTAACTAATTAAAATTTTAAAATTTTGGATGTTATAAGACAATGAATATGAAAGTGTGACATACAATGTGATATACGTTAAGGTATACTTTTTCCTAAAGTAAGAAAACTATGATAAAAAAAAATTAAAATGATTCTCAAACCACATAATTTAGTTTAAATTGAAGATAATCATCATCCATTTTACGAGATGTTTATAATTCACGGGTTTTTAATATTTTCATCAATTTGAGAACTCGTAATATGATCGTATATTAATTATAAAGAAGTCGTTTTATAATTGTGAAACAGTCGTCATAAATTTGTTTGATCATATAATAAAACAAACTCTGCTATAAGATATGCTTGGTATATAGCTTTGCAGCCAGATTCCAGCTGCAGGGTTACCATCAACAGTGGACTGCAGCAACATTCCGACTATGCCAACCGTTTCGTTCACGATCGGCGGAAAAGCTTTCGACCTCTCCCCGCAAGATGTAAGCCCTCTGATTGATCTTTTCTTGTCTCGTTCCGTTTTTCACCTACCGAGGACTCAAAACTTCCATTCGGGCTTTTTTCCTTTTTCCCGTCGGATCAGTACATATTCAAGGTAGGGGACGGAGCTGAAGCACAGTGCACCAGTGGTTTCACTGCCATGGATGTTTCCTCCACCTCGTGGACCGCTCTGGTAGAAAAAACCGATGTTCAGTCTCTCAACCTATACAGTGACCATTAACCAGAGATTTAGTTCTATCGGGTTTGCTGTGTTCGATTACGGGAAAATCTGACTCGGGTTTGCCAAAGCGGCTTAAGAACCCGAAAACCCGACATCTACCAACACCAACGCCAACACCATCTGTCCTGCAAATTTTTTTACACAAGATTCAATACGGAATATGACGCGGAAATGCAGCGGCACATACCGGTGGATATCAAGAAGCCCCTATAAATATATAAAACGACTAGTTTCAGCTCCTCCGATTATTGGGCGCTGTGAATAAACTGTGAAAGAGAAGCAAAAGTGGCGTACCAAAAGAAGGCAACGAGGCTGTGGAAGATGACACGGAAATGCAGCGGCACATACTGGTGGTTCTTGATACTGTCTCTTACATGAACCCTGTTTTCACTCACACTGCACATCATAAATCGGTCCTATATGTATCATCAATGAATTCATCGGGTGATTGATAGAACATTTCTCGGCTATATTGGATAATGTTTTTGCTGAAAAGACAATGAAGGGAAAGGAACTCACCTTCAATGATGACTCTGTATATATCATAAAAAGCAAGTAGAGTTCAACAGGGACAATGTCAGTTGTTCAACGACCACCTGCATAATATTACCACCGAACTCAAAATCTATATTTGGTTTTCCCCGAGAAAAAACTGTAACTGAATTTAATCTTATTGCAGCATCCACTTCGGCCATGATCTCTGCGCCCTCCTCTGCCGCTCTCTCAAGCCACATCGAATTTAATCTTTTTCCAGTAGGGTAGTATCTCTTCGGCCGCCAAAGTAACTATGCCATCATCGGGTAAAACGGACAAGGATACCTTGACTTGACTGGTGCATCTAGAAAATTACCAAAACGACGAAAGGTAGCTTGGGAGACAGTTTTCCCAAGGTGCGCTTCGGCAAATTCCTTCATTTTCGAGATAGCAAAAGCTCCAATGTAGCTAGGAAAGTACTTTTGCCTGTTTGCTTTGGCCCAAACATCGCCATTTGCATCTTGAACAATAATGTACGGTGCCATTTCCATCCCCATTTCTGTCTGAGAGCCTTCAAACTGTTTGGCCGAGGTTCCCACAAGGAGCTCACCCTCGTTGTTAATACCAACCGCTGAAAGAGTTCCTTGGCATTCTCACTCTGCAATACAAGATGGGATCCAATACACTTGAACAAATAAACTGATTTCCAAAAGATGAGGGCGATAGAGAATGTTTTTTTTACCTTTTCTTTCATAGAATTGGTGACACCCAAGTCACTCCCCTTGGAGGAAGATCCTTTAGACATGTGTTGGTCTATATTCCAAAGAGCCTCTCTTGCAGCTTCGGACTTTTGCCCAAGCACTTAAAGAAACTCTTTACGGAATCTAGTGGCTTGTCTCACGTGAGTAGAGGATCAGCGGCTCCATAGAAAACCAGCCGATCGACTCTCCAAAATTGTGACGCAGCGGTTTCAATCTCCGTCGCAATCTCGGTACAGATCTTCTCTTTGTACTTGTTCAACCATTTCTCAATGTTGTACAATATTTGTAGACATTAAAGTAAGAGCCATTATCGATCAAATAGTCCAACTCCATGTCTTTCCTGAAAAGTGTTTCAAAGTATTTATCCATTTGCGCAAGCAAAAAAGCTCCAAGCATCGCCATTTGGAGCTTTAACAATCTTGCACGGTACCATTTCCATCTGAGAGTCTTCAAACCGTTTGGCTGGGGTCCCCACAAGGAGTTCACCCTTGTCGATAATAGCAACCACGAAAATCCTTTTTGTACCATTATTCGTATCTGTTATTGCAAATCTTAATCCTTAGACTAAAGAAAAACCCTTCTTCATCTCCCCTCGATGACTTATAGAGTTTCTCTCGGTTCAGTATTATTTTTTGAGTATGAGTCTCCCTAGACCGGAAGAATTATCCTTACCTGATGTCATTGGGCGTCTCATAATCTCTAAATGCAAAATGGCACACCTTTGAAAAACAAGTTTGATAAAAGAGACTCGTCTCTCTTTCCCACAATTTTTAGATAATTCTCGTATTATCCACAAAAAACAAAATAAACACGCATATATATACTATTCATTAACATAACAAAATTATACAATGGTCACACCTTGATAAAAAAAACATAAGGTGCAATTTTTTACCTTTTAACAGAGAAATAGTTATCATATCTTTCTCTCTGTACCGGTTTCTCTTGCAGCGCCTTCATTTTTGTTCCTAACTCCAGCAAGTCTGATTTTCTTTTACAGAAATCCAAAAACGTGTTTCACAAAATCAACCGAAATTCGAGAATCTAAATAAAAACATCGACAATATTTGAATGATTCCAATATGTTACGAAACTGTCGACGGCATTCGGAAAATTACACAATCCAAGCCCCTTTTTAAATGCTTGCACTTGCCACTGTTTTTGCATTAAAAACAAATTGACATTGTTTATACCTTTTCAAATGTGTTCTTTCTTTTGATGAAGTATTCATAATACCATGATTAAATCCTTTTTGTACCATTATTTGCTGCATCATTAAAATATCAAATTTCATTGTTAGAAAAAAGTGATTATAATTAAAGTATAATAATGGTAGATATCTGTACAAAATTTCTATCGAAAGAAATGTACATCTGGTAGAATTCTGTCAAATCCATAGATTGAAATCATTAATTTCTTCCCTTCAACGATCCGAATAAGTTCTGATTTTGCCGCTTCATTGTATGGCATCTATGCTCCGGAGCATCAATTTCTCTGCACTATTTATATCTTAAGTTCGCGTTTTGTTTACTAGGACATTAAACAATTTGTTTTGTAGACAAAAATGAAACAAAAACACTTATTTAACTTACTATTGCATTTCCCAATGAGGATATAACCAACTTCATCATCATTCACCATCCTGAAAAAATAAAAAACTTATAAATGTTTCGTAAGATAATGAGATTAGTTATAATAATTATTCAACTCATCTGAAACCCGTTTGTTTAAAAACTTTGTGATTCTCGTTTTTTACGTTTAAAATCTTTATTTTGATGTGCTGTCACCTAATCAGCTGCCACGCTTTTCATTTTTTGTCTCACTTCCGTTGGGATTTTCCGTAATGCCAAATGATACTTTTATTCGTCAACCCAAACATTTATTTCATCGTTGTCCGACACAGAATATTTGTAAACCTAAATATCATCAATTAACTAAATTTCTAATAGTATCATAAAACAAATAAAAAACTAATTGATTTAAAAGATTTTTAACCTGGCAAGTTTTAAATTTACGTATAACTTTGCAAGATGAAAATTTGGTTACCCTGCACGTGCGTGCAATAATTGGAAAAATGAGAGTTCCTTTTATAAATAGAAAGTGAGGGCAAAATTTTTCTTTTACCGTTTTTTCCATAGGATTAGCGGTAGACAAGTGAAATACACCATTATCATCATTACCGGCGCTGGATGAACACACTGTAAGTCTAAGAAATAATTTAACAGCAACACAAATTTAACAGCAACATGCAAATGTTAAATTTGTGTTGCTGTTAAATTTATATCTTAGCCTTACAGTGTGTTGTTCATCCAACGGCGGTAATGATGATAATGGTGTATTTCACTTGCTTACCGTCAATCCTGTGGGAGAAACGGTAAAAGAAAAACTTTGTCCTCACTTTTTGGAAATGATTTTACTATGAATTAGTTCCTATTTGAGAATCATCCTTTCTATTTATAACATGAACTCTCACTTTTCCAATTAATACACGCATGTGCGGGTAACCAAATTTTCATCTTGCGAAGTTATACGTAAATTTAAAACTTGTCAGGTTAGAAAACTTTTAAATCGATTAGTTTTTTGTTTGTTTTATGGTACTATTAGAAACTTAGTTAATTGATGATATTCAGGTTCACAAATATTCTGTGATAGACGACGATGGAATAAATGTTTGGGTTGACGAATAAAAGTATCATTTGATATTACCAAATATCCCACGGAAGTGAGACAAAAAATGAAAAGTGTGGAACTGATTAGGTGACAGCATATTAAACTAAAGATTTTAAACGAAAAAACGAGAATCACAAAGTTCTTAAACAAACGGGTTTCAGATGAGTTGAATAATTATTATAATTAATCTCATTATCTTACGAAACTTTTATATGTTTTTTATTCTTTCAGGATGGTGAATGATGATGAAGGCGGTTATATCCTCACTCGGAGATGCAAAATTAAGTTAAAGTAAGTGTTTTTGTCTCATTTTTGTCTACAAACCAAATTGTTTAATGTCCAGTAAACAAAATGCGAACTTAAAATATAAATAGTGCAGGGGAATTGATGTTCCGGAGCACGTGATGTCATATAGTGAAGAGGCAAAATCAAAGATTATTTGGATCGTTGAAGGGAGAAACTAATGATTTCAATCTATAGATGGATTTGACAAAATTCTAGCAGACGTACATTTCTATAGAAATTTTGTACAGATACCTATCATTATTATAATCTAATTATAATCACTTTTCTCTAACAATGAAATTTGATATTTTAATGATGAAGTAAATAATGGTACAAAATGATTTGCATTGTATTACGAATATTTCGACCAAAGAAAGACCACATTTGGAAAGGTATAAACAGTGTCAATTTGTTATGACCATTAACATTTATAAAAATACGTTTTTAATGCAAAAACAATAGCAAGTGCAAACATTTGAAAAAGGGCTTGGATTGTGGGATTGGAAAGAACGCATGAAACAAAACAAAGTTCGTAACATATTGGAATCATTCAAATATTGTCGTTGTTCTTATTTAGATTCCCGAATTTCGATTGATTTTGTAAAACATGTTTTTGGATTTGGATTTCTGTGAAGAAAAACCAGACTTACTGGAGTTAGGAACAAAAATGAAGGTGCTGCGAGAGAAACCGGTACAGAGAGAAAGATAGAAAAAAAGATATTATAACTATTTTTCTGTTAAAAGGTAAAAAATTGCACTTCTGTTTTATCAAAGTGTGACCATTGTACAGTTTTGTTATGTTAATCAGTAACATATACGCGTGTTTACTTGTTTTCGAAAGGTATGTCATTTTGCATCTAGAGTTTACAGAACATTCGGCGACATCGGACAAAGATAATCGTTCTGGTATAAGAAACTCATACTCAAACAAGAATACTGAACCTATGGAAGCCCATGAGTCATCGAGAGTAGATAATCAAGAAGGGTTTTTTTAGTCTAAAGATCAAGATTTGCAATAATATATACGAATTTACCTTAGACTCGACACCGGTGGCCAGATTATCCGGATCTGGTCAACAGGAAACGGAAGATCCCCAGCAGAGCCTCCGAGCGCAAGGAAGAAAGGGATAAGGGAGAGGTTTTTTCTTTAGTCTTAGACTCGAGAACCGGTGGCAAGGTTATCCAGACCTGGTCGACAGAAAACGGAAGATCCATCAGAGCGCCGTAAGGATGAAGAAAGGGATAAAGGAGAGGTTTTTATTCAGTCTAAGAAACAAGATCTGCAATAACAGACATGAATTCACCTTACAGACATGCCGTGCAGACTCGAGCGCCGGTGGATGGCCAGATCATCAGGATCTGGTCGACAGAAAACGGAAAGCGCAGTATGGATGGGGAGACGATGAAAAGAGAGGGTTCTTCCTTCGGTCTAAGAGCCAGAAGCGCTCCGCCGCGGAGAGATGCGAAACGAGAGGAGAGGAGATTGCAAGCTGCAGATAGATAGGTAGGGTATGTTCAAAAGGATATTTTTGGAATTTAAGTTTCACTTCCTCGATTCAACACTCATCTGACATGTATCCATCCCCACATTCATTCCTGCCATATAAAAATATTAAAAAATACAGAGATAAATCCATCGCCAGTTAATTAATTCAAAGGGTATACGGACGCCTCCCTATCATCCATCTCGAAGGACCCCACGTGACGTGCCATCACGAAAATGAAATAACTAACAACATTTCTACATCGATTTAAACAAATAGGCCCATTTCTACATCTTTTATGATGGCAAAAAGAAACAGTAAATTCTTCATAGTCAAACAAGTAACACTCAGACAAAGATTGGGAAAATCGAGGCAACTGAATTCGGAACATACATGTGATGTTTGTCTGGAAGTGAAACCATCCTATGGGCCGAGGCAATTATATCAGAATCCAAGTGATGATGATGATGATGATGATGGATGCATGAAGAGCCCTCTTTTTCTAGAACTCTCTACCATCAATACCATTTCCGGCGCTGGATGCATCCCTGAAACAAGTTGGAACCGTAACAGTAACACTGCTGATATTTGTTTCAAGGTATTCTCGGGCAAATTGAAAAAAAATCTCCAATCTGGCAAGGGGAGTACTTTTGCTGTCGGCTTGCTTCGACCCAAGCATCGCCATTTGGAGCTTTAACAACCGCCGAGCAATACATTATAAACAAAGGTTCAAACACGTAACCAGAATTCCGATTCCCCCGTATTTTGAAGGTAAATGACGGTTCAAACATGCGGTGTGTCATGAACAAGTGTATGATCAGGTATAATACAGCCCTTAGGGCTTAAAATTCATCAATCTTTCAAGTTTTAATCCACATTCATGAGCTGAACAATAGCTGAAATTCTGATAGTTTCGACACATTCTACATAACTAGCACAAGGCTACAGGCCAACAAATACGAGACAAACAATTTAATGATGAGAAAATTGTTAACCAGTTTTGCTTAATCTAATGATAAGAAACGCCTATTCTTAGCCTCTATTGCAGCCTCCATTTTCGGCATGATCTCACCGTCCTTTTCCACCACAGCACTCTTGAGTTCAGGCACAGCGGCTTCACACTCTTCCGCAATCTCGACTGGGATCGTCTCTCTGTACTGTCTCAAGATACTGCAGAGCCGCCGCCTCTGATTTTTTCCAGAAAAATTCATCTTCGGCCATCACAGTAACTACACCATTGTCGGGTGAAATTGAGAAGGATACTTTGACTGGTCCATCGCTTAAACAACCACGAATGATGAAGATAGCTTTGGTGACAGTATTTCCAAGGTGTGCTTCGGCAAATTTCTTTATTTTCGAGACAACAAACGCTCCAATCTGACCAGGAGAGTACTTTCGCCCGTTTGCTTCGACCCAAGCATCGCCATTTGGAGCTTTAACAATCTTGCACGGTACCGTTTCCATCTTTGTATGTGTCTGAGAGCCTTCAAACTGTTTGGCCGAGGTTCCCACAAGGAGTTCGCCCTCGCGGTTAATAGCAACCACTGAAAGAGTTTCTTGGGCATTCTCACTCTGTAATAACACAAGATGGGATCCAATACACTTAAGCAAATAAACTTATTTCCAAACGATGAGGGCGATAAAGGCTTATTTACCTTTTCTTCCATAGAATTGGTGGTACCCAAGTCAGTGCCTCCGGAGGAAGATCCTTTGGACATGTGTTGACTGATTTTCGAAAGAGCGTCTCTTGCACCTTTCAACTTGTCCTGGTACTTGTAGAAACTATGATCGCAATACTGTTGCTGGGCTCTCCTGTATAGAGACATAGCTTTTTCAATCTCTTTCACAATCTCGGTAGGAATGTTCTCTCTGTACTTGCTCAACCACTTCTCAACAAGAAAGTAAGACTTAATGGGGAGTAAGTCCATTTCTTTCTCGCTTGCTTCGTTTTTGGCCAAGACAATAACTCCGTTATGGTGATCAATTTCGAAGGTTACTTTGATTTGTGTGTCCCTTAAACACGCTGGAACCATAACAGTAAAACTCCTGATAGTTGTTTCACGGTATTCTTGGGCATATCCATCCATTTGCGCGAGCAAAAAAGCTCCAATCTGGAAAGGAGAGTACTTTTGCCCGTTTGCTTCGACCCAAGCACCACCATTTGGAGCTTTAACAATCTTGCACGGTACCATTTCCATCTCGGTCTGTGTCTGAGAGCCTTCAAACTGTTTGGCCGAGGTTTCTACAAGGAGTTCACCCTCGTGGTTAATAGCAACCATTGAAAGAGTTCCTTGGGCACTCTCAATCTGTAACACAAGATGAGATCTGATAAACTTGAACAAATAAACTCATACGCAAAAGATGAGAACGTAGAAAAAGGGTTTTTTTTTACCTTCTCTTCCATAGAATTGGTGGTACTCAAGTCAATACAAAGTTTTTTTACCTTCTCTTCCATAGAATTGGTGGTACTCAAGTCAATATCAAGTACGTCATTTTCGGCGCTGGATGAACAACACATAAGGCAAGACAATAATTTAACAGCAACACAAACGGTAGATTGAAGTACCTGAAAGGCCTCGCTAAGAAACCAAAAGACGTCTTCCCATTTGTAGATAGCTGCAACTGTGAGAGCTTCATTCATAAATCGTTTTTTATTTGAATTCAAAAAATAAGTTAAAAGATCAAACATAACAACTTCTAAATGTAGATCCCACAATATGACACCCGAATCACACATATCCATACTCGATCATTCTAAGCCCAATTGGATCTGGGAATCCAAACATCCGCTAGATTCCAATGAAAACGAAGCGCAATCTCTCAACCAAAAAAGATGCATAAACACACAAGAAAATGTAGACTAATCGTACAGATTTATAAGCAGAGTGGAGCACGCGGCGGCGGAGAGGAGAAGCGGCAGTGGACATAGACCGATTGCTGGCTCCGCCCGAAGATCTGACAGCGAATCTGAGAGGCGACAGTGAGCCCTTGCTCAGCAATCTCTTGCAAGCAGAACTCATCATGAGAGGATGGCCAAAATCAGAAGACAAAAAGAGCGGAGATCGTTTTGCTTCTGGAGCCAGAGGGAAAGGGGATTAGGGTTTATGGAGGGTGGGAGGGGACTTGTTGGTTGAAAACTTGAAATATACATAGTAACGGAGCAAGATGAAGACCTAGACTTGGGCAACAAGGCGTCGGGAAAGCCTTGGAAGGAAATGGAGGATCCCAAACAAGACCCTTGGGTCGAGCTGGAAGCTTCCCAATCAGCATGTAATCGACAAATAAAGGGAGAATATCCTACCAATTGAGAATCAATCTGCACAAAAAGGAAACCGAGAGAATTAAGCGTGATTTGATTTCGTCCAAGGAATATTATCTCCACAAGGAAGAAGAAAAAAACCCTATTAAACGCAATCGCCTTGATTTTATTTCCTTTTGGGCTTTTCGAGTCAATTTTGAAATTATGGGTTACTAAAGTAAAATCTACTGTATAATGAACACTTGCTTTATTATAATAAAAAAACACGAGTTCCTCCGTAGCCGCCAATGAAGGAACCCAGACTTGACTTTTCAAAAGCTCACACCTCATGAATCGATCGTTAGGTGTATTCGCATGATTGTCATTTAATTCCATTAGGAGTATATCCTTATTTCTTATTTGATTTTTTTGTGTTTTAAATGATTTAATAAATGAAATCGGGTCATACTTCTTTCAGAGTCAAAGTCTTTCCTCCGCTGTCCTGATGCTCAAACGATCTCCATTAAAAACCAGACAAAGCTAGGGCAAGAGAGAAACAGAACCGAAGCCGGTAAATGGACAACCCTCTTGTCTTGTTCCTCTCTTGTTCTCTTCTTCTTCTTCTTCCTCTTCCTCTAACCTTCCGTGCCGTTCACGCAAACTTGCTCTGCTACGACGAGTTCTTGCCTGCAAACTCAACCTACGCCAGAAACCGAGACAATCTCCTGTCTTCTCTCGCCTCCAACGTTACGGCGAGAGGCGGATTCTACAACGCTTCACTCGGACGAAACTCGGACCGAGTCAACGCGTTCGCCCTTTGCCGACGGGGCTACGAGCCACGCGCCTGCATCAGCTGCGTCGACAGAGTAAGCCGGAATCTGATAAAGACATGTACCGATCAGAAGCAAGCTTATTCGTGGGACGGCGACAACGACGTTTCTTGCGTGGTACGTTACTCGAGCTCTTCGAGTTTCGGAAAGCTCGAGCTCAAACCCCCTGACAGTAATCTCCACCCGAACAACATCGACACTTCGAACATGACGTTTTTCCGCCAGCAATGGGAATCCATGGTGAACCGAACGCTCGAAGCTGCTTCCACGGCCAACACTTCGTCTGTTCTGAAGTATTACGCTGTCACGAGAGCGGAATTCACAGAGTTTCCGAATGTCTTTTCACTGATGCAATGCTTTCCCGATATATCCGAGGCGGAATGCAACCAATGCCTCGGAGAAAGCGTCTCGTATTATCAAGAACGGTTCTGGGGGAGACAAGGGGGAGAGGTTACTCGGCCGAGCTGTTTCTTCAGGTGGGATTTGTATCCTTTCTATGGAGCTTTCGATAATCTAACAAGAATCCCTTCTCCTCCTCGTCCTTCTCCCCAATCTCCAGGAGGAAATGATCAAACAAATTTCAGCAAAAGGAATAATGGTGATTGAATCTATTTTGCTGTAACATCAGATTCAATCTATAGTTGTAGTTCTTGCGCTGACTGTCTTCGGATGATGTGACGGGTTTCTTACAGGAAGTAGCTTTCGGTCCGGGACTATCGCGATAATCGTTGTTCCTACCGCCATTAATATTTTCGTATTCGTCGCTCTCGTGTACGCTTATCACCGAAGGAAGAAGTTATATGTCAGAATCAATGGTGAGTTATATAATATGATGTTTTTTCAGAAAACATTGTTTGCTTCTCTGCAGCTGCACCAAACTCTGAAAATTTCACCGGTGCTTTTGTTTGTATGCAGAATCCGCTGATTCTGATCATAAGTTCATGCTAAGATTCGATCTCGACACAATAATTACTGCCACGGATGATTTCTCGGACGAAAATACGCTCGGACAAGGAGGATTCGGATCTGTCTACAAGGTAAGTCTCTCCCCCGGATGACATTCATCCAAATAACAAGCTTCAATCTTCGATTAATCTATGTATATTTCAGGGGATATTACCGAACGGGCAAGAGATAGCTGTGAAAAGATTGACAAGAGGGTCAGGACAAGGAGATTTGGAGTTCAAAAACGAGGTCTTGCTTCTTACAAGACTCCAACACAGGAATCTGGTCAAGCTTCTCGGATTCTGCAACGAGAGAGATGAAGATCTTCTCGTTTACGAGTTCGTGCCAAACTCGAGCCTTGACCGTTTCATATTCGGTGAGAAATCGTATAACATTCATATATCTGAAATCTATTTTCCATCCGGTGAACACTTTTTGAATCCATTCAAACTTGTTGCAGATCCGGACAAGCGTTCACTTCTTACGTGGGACGTAAGATACAAAATAATCGAAGGCATCGTTAGAGGGCTTCTTTATCTTCACGAAGATTCGCAACTGAGGATCATACACCGTGACCTGAAGACGAGCAACATACTTTTAGACGCTGAGATGAACTCAAAAGTGTCGGACTTCGGTATGGCGAGGTTGTTCAACGTTGACGAGACTCGAGGAGAAACGAGCAGAGTAGTTGGAACATAGTGAGTCACAAAAACAAAAAAAAAAACAAACCTTATCTGTTTCTTGCGTGGTACGTTACTCGAGCTCTTCGAGTTTCGGAAAGCTCGAGCTCAAACCCCCTGACAGTAATCTCCACCCGAACAACATCGACACTTCGAACATGACGTTTTTCCGCCAGCAATGGGAATCCATGGTGAACCGAACGCTCGAAGCTGCTTCCACGGCCAACACTTCGTCTGTTCTGAAGTATTACGCTGTCACGAGAGCGGAATTCACAGAGTTTCCGAATGTCTTTTCACTGATGCAATGCTTTCCCGATATATCCGAGGCGGAATGCAACCAATGCCTCGGAGAAAGCGTCTCGTATTATCAAGAACGGTTCTGGGGGAGACAAGGGGGAGAGGTTACTCGGCCGAGCTGTTTCTTCAGGTGGGATTTGTATCCTTTCTATGGAGCTTTCGATAATCTAACAAGAATCCCTTCTCCTCCTCGTCCTTCTCCCCAATCTCCAGGAGGAAATGATCAAACAAATTTCAGCAAAAGGAATAATGGTGATTGAATCTATTTTGCTGTAACATCAGATTCAATCTATAGTTGTAGTTCTTGCGCTGACTGTCTTCGGATGATGTGACGGGTTTCTTACAGGAAGTAGCTTTCGGTCCGGGACTATCGCGATAATCGTTGTTCCTACCGCCATTAATATTTTCGTATTCGTCGCTCTCGTGTACGCTTATCACCGAAGGAAGAAGTTATATGTCAGAATCAATGGTGAGTTATATAATATGATGTTTTTTCAGAAAACATTGTTTGCTTCTCTGCAGCTGCACCAAACTCTGAAAATTTCACCGGTGCTTTTGTTTGTATGCAGAATCCGCTGATTCTGATCATAAGTTCATGCTAAGATTCGATCTCGACACAATAATTACTGCCACGGATGATTTCTCGGACGAAAATACGCTCGGACAAGGAGGATTCGGATCTGTCTACAAGGTAAGTCTCTCCCCCGGATGACATTCATCCAAATAACAAGCTTCAATCTTCGATTAATCTATGTATATTTCAGGGGATATTACCGAACGGGCAAGAGATAGCTGTGAAAAGATTGACAAGAGGGTCAGGACAAGGAGATTTGGAGTTCAAAAACGAGGTCTTGCTTCTTACAAGACTCCAACACAGGAATCTGGTCAAGCTTCTCGGATTCTGCAACGAGAGAGATGAAGATCTTCTCGTTTACGAGTTCGTGCCAAACTCGAGCCTTGACCGTTTCATATTCGGTGAGAAATCGTATAACATTCATATATCTGAAATCTATTTTCCATCCGGTGAACACTTTTTGAATCCATTCAAACTTGTTGCAGATCCGGACAAGCGTTCACTTCTTACGTGGGACGTAAGATACAAAATAATCGAAGGCATCGTTAGAGGGCTTCTTTATCTTCACGAAGATTCGCAACTGAGGATCATACACCGTGACCTGAAGACGAGCAACATACTTTTAGACGCTGAGATGAACTCAAAAGTGTCGGACTTCGGTATGGCGAGGGTGTTCAACGTTGACGAGACTCGAGGAGAAACGAGCAGAGTAGTTGGAACATAGTGAGTCACAAAAACAAAAAAAAAAACAAACCTTATCTGTCTGCGTTCTTACAGGAACTCGATCATTACCAGTAGAATCATCGGATATATATGTCGTGCAGCGGATATATGGCACCCGAGTACGTGAAACACGGGCAATTCTCGGTCAAATCCGACGTCTACAGCTTCGGGGTCGTGCTTCTCGAGATCATAAGCGGTGAAAGAAACAAGAACTTCGAAGCAGAAGGCCTCCCTGCATTTGTAAGCAAACAAGAACTGCTTTCTTGACTTCTTAACCGTAAAGAAAACGTATAAATACGGGTATGTTTCTGCGTATACGTAGGCATGGAAGAGCTGGGTGGAAGGAAGAGCTGCGGATATTATCGATCCAGTGATGAGCAACGGTCCGAGAAGTGAGATAATGAAGTTTATACACATCGGTCTGTTGTGTGTTCAAGAGAATGTTGAGAAAAGACCGACGATGAACTCCGTCAATCTGTGGCTCGGCAGTGAGACCACGACAATGCCATTGCCGACAGCTTCTGCTTTCATTACACATCCTCTCGGTTCGTTAGAAGAGCCGTCTCCGTCGTCGTCGAGGTCGAGAGGGGCAGACGGCACGTTTTCTGTGAACGAGGTCTCGGTTTCAGTGTTGGATCCTCGTTGATTTGTTCAAATATGATGTAATATGTTTAGGCGATGCAATTCAGAAAATAAATTTAAAAAAAAGGCATACCCAATAAAAAAAAAAACCTCAACTTGTCAGATGACAATGATCTTGTCGGAAATTCTTCTGGATCTATCTAAAGTTATTGCAGAGACATGGCTCTGTTTTCTCCTGAAAATGAGTTTTGTTAGATTGGTTCGGTATTATGGGCTAATTGTTTGGGCTTTTCAGTCAGGCCTCAGGAAAAAGCCCATGTAATTTAAACGGAATATGGCATAATTATTTTATTAGGCTAATTTTGTTGTATTTAATTTTAGCTTTATACAAAATCTACATTACCAATTTGCATGGACCATGGATTAACAAATGCAGCATTTCAACAGCTAATATATAGTCGATGTTGTAAAGACGCTTATTCGAAAAGTAAATGCACGAGAGGAGAAAATGTTTTTATGTGATATCCAACAATCTGTTTATTGGTACATGAATTTATTAAAATGAAAAATAAGTTCACCATACATGAGTTTATTGGTCCAAAAATTATGTAGTAGAATAACTAAAAAAAATTGAAAATAGATAAAAATGAAACCCTTTTTGAGTTGACAAAGATAGAGTGTGTACTGTCGTGTACGACTAGGGAGAATCTTTATCTCCCACCTTATTGGTGACATAAGTGCCTCCACCTCCTCCAATGCCGATTCCGAAACCAATGCCCATTCCAAAGCCCATCCCTACTCCTCCTCCGCCACCGTTCCCCGTGGCTCCTCCGCCGCTACCTCCGCCATTACCCACACCCAAACC